TAACTGGGGACATGTGGTAAACAGACACTGTCCTTTATGTGGATGCTGCCAAAATGGAGTCTGGTATCTGCGTAAATGGGATTATATTCTATTACTGTTGTGTTGAGGGGGTCTGGACTCAATCCAAGAAATCCCATCTGTCTCATTCATCATTATTACATTAAAAGGACATCCTGGAGTACAGAGCTAATTTGTCATTTACAACTCAGTTCTGCTTTCCAGAAAATAAATCCAAGTCATCTGAAGAAAGCATTGACTCTTACCAACTTCAATGTGCAGCATGCAGCTTAACTTCCATGTCCAAATAGATTTTGGAAGAGCCAGCTCCATATTTATAGATAATAGATTTGAAAAGAAGATTAGGAAAGATCTAAGGATGCAGGTTCCCATGAAAGGCACTGTCTGTAGCCTCGAGGTTTTGGGGGTGTGGATGTGTGAAAGGGAGATTCTGTAAACTGTTGGACAGCAAAACCTGGGTGTTGGAGAACTGCATCTTCATGGAGCAATGAGTGGTTCTTGGTCACAAGATTTCACTATTTCCTTATTGGGCAGGTTTTTGGCTGTTTCTCCACTCTGAGATAGTTTTCAGGCATTACAGAACAGATCCATAGGAACAACTGATGGGAAGTGCTGTTCCTAATCCTCTGCCTCACTACATGTCAGCACAATTCCCACAGCATCCACTTGTACTGAAGCTGGACTAAATGGGAAGACACTGCTGTAATCCACAGACCCTATTCTGTAGTTTCTTAATATAACATAACACACAGGCCAGCTGGCTCCAGTTCTCCCTCCTCAGAAATAAGAGAACTGTGTTTGATTCCAGAAACCAAACGTGGAGCTAATGCCATGTGCAACTGCAGTGACACCCAGCCCTGGAACCAGCTGCACTGCAAAGACATCTGCAGAAAGTTCCTGTGTCACTCAGAGCCTCTTTAGCAAATGCAGGAGTCGTGGCTTTGAGGTTCCAAGAACGTTGTACTGTGTTTTTTCATGGCTCTGGTAATTTTCCTGGATGTAACTGTTATGCTGTGGCCTGGTGTATGTGATGAAATGCAGGAGAAGGGAAGAACTGCTCTGGGATTTGACAAGGAGACAAGAAGCTCTGAGAGAAAATGAAATCTCTCTGGCAGCTTGAGTGACTTCTGCTCTCCCCTGTCAGTAACTGGATACAAGTGGATTGCTGCTCAGGTCAGGCTGCTTATTCAGAAGAGCAGAGCAGTGTGAAAAGCAACTCAACAGGCAACTCTACTTATTCCACATCCAGTTTTCAAAGGAATTCTGCCATTCTTTGGTAACGGTACCTGTTCAAATTTCCACCCGTCGGACATGGTGGACACCATCTGTGTGAGCTCTTCCTCTTGGCACTGCAGCACTCTGTACACGTGCTTCACGGGTCCCTGGAGCACACAGAACAATGCCTGTAGTTTAGTAATTGCTTTATTAGTATCATGCTAGAGAATTAATAAGCTGCTCCTGCTCTCATCTTAGGAAGTCAGAGCCCCAAGGGCTTTCTAAGGGTGTTTTTATCCCACTGATTCCAAAACACAACCATATGCCTGGCACTAGTCTCTTAAAAGCTTTCTAGATGTCTAAGCTACAGTGAAAGCAAAACTTCTCTAGCTTTCAAAGCCATTTGCTGCTTTTTGAAAACATTTCTGAAATTGAATCTACTGGATGTGCTGATATCAGCTGAGCATCAATGGGAAACATGTCACAGAGAGACAAAGGGAAGAAATGGTTTAGAGAAGGAAGAGTTTGAGCTGTTCTTTGCCAAAGCAGTATGTTTTGCTCTATAACCACCCATTTGTGCTCCTGGCCCCTCTCCTGTAAGTGTCCTTTGCCTTTCAGTGCTGAGATGACTCAGTGGTCTGTGCTCTGTAAAGCCACACTGAGGACTCTTTGCTAGCCATGCCCTGCATCCACCTAGCAGCATTTATTCCCCTGTTACTGCTGAACCAAAGAAGTGCTACTGCAAGGGCCTGCAGCCATGCTTGTCCTCCTGAGCCCCAGAAGTGACTCCCCAAGGCAGAGGTGATTACTTGAGAGGTTCTGTTCTCGTTGTCCCGTATCCGCTCCTTCACCAGCCGCACGAGGGACGCGATGTTGTAAAACTCAGCCTCTTCCAGCACCCCTGCAGAGGAACCCAAAGCACAGATCCTGTCACTTTGCACAGGATGGAAGGAAGATGATTCTGTCACAAGGATGCAAACCTGCTGCTGACTCCAAATCTAGCCCAGATGTCAGAATCCCAAATGTGCCACCCACCTCCTGCTCTCAGGCTAGGAGAAAATGCCTGACTAGCTGCCACCTCCTTTTGTGACTTAAGAGGATCTTTATGAAAGATTATTCCTGTGGTGGATGCTTTGTGGGGGGCTCCTGGGACGAGTGGAGAGACAAGAATCTCGACTCCATGTTTCACAAGGCTGGTTTATTATATTATGATATATATTGTATTAAAATGATATATTAAAACTATACTAAAAGAATAGAGAGAAAAGGATTCATCAGAAGGCTAGAAAGAACAAGAATGGAATGCAGTAACAAAGGCTTGTGACTGCTCAGAGCCTCGACACAGGTGGCTGTGATTGGTCACCAAGTGAGAACAATCCACATGGACCAATGTGAGATGCACCTGTTGGTGAACAATGCCCAGATTACATTCTACAGCCATCAGATAGTTAATTGTTTACATTTCTTTTCTGAGGCTTCTCAGCTAGGAGAAAAACCCTAGCAAAAGATTTTTCATAAAATATCATGGTAACATATTCCCCTTTCCCTAGGATGATCAGAAATCTCATGGTACAATGTCTGTTTCTTCACCCAGCCCCATCAAGGGAAAGCCCCCAGAGCTGCTTGTTTGGGGAGAACCAGGTCTGTGAGGGGCAGAGGGGCTGGAACAGACCCGGGCTCAGAGGAGAGACAGGCTGTGCTGTGAGCTGCAGCCTCTGCTCTCGGGAAGGCACACAGCTGATGGCTGAATCCCTGCTAATGAGCAATTAACAGCACTGACAGCACTCCTGGGAAACCTGCTCACACTCACACCAGTTTATGGCGAGGGCTCCTGGCTATGCTGCCAAACTGCACTTCCAGCCTGTCCTGGTGTTTTTCTCTTACCTTCCTCTGCGAGCTCCTTGTTGATGATGAGCTTCCCGTGCCGGAGGTAGTTCAGGATGGGGCCAAAGTACGTGGGGTCTCTGTCGATGAGATAGGCTCCAGTCTCATCCTGAGGGCAAAACAGGCACGGCTCAGTGGGGCCAGGAAAACAGGATTTCAATCTAACACAATACATGGAACAGTTTCTCTTGGAGCAGCTGGATTAATCTGCCTGTGGGAGGTGTTCAAATGTGCTACATTTAAACCATTTTTCTTTTTCAGTATCTGCTCCAGGAACACTACAGATGCCTTACATGAAGCACTCATACACACAGCTTATGGACCTGGAGAAAACAGCTGGAATTAGGAGGGCTTTTCCACTGCAGTAAGAACCAAAACTTGGCACTGGTGTTCTGGCTCAGCCTGTTCTCCAGACTAGTTTACCTAGGAGGCTCTGGGGGAAAATGGGATCTCCAGTTCTAGCTGAGGGCACCTGACAGCCAAAACAGTTCATTTTTTCCCCCTTTCCACTACTGCAAACACACACTGCAATGCTCCAGCCATGTGTCCAGCAATACAACAACTAGTGGCATTAAATAACCAACAGCTGACAGTGGCATTAAATAACCAACAACAGCATCTCTTGAGCAGTTCTGAAGCACTGACAAGCCCTCTTCAGAACTCTCACATCCCTCTCAAGGACTTTAAAGCATTGTTTCTCCTGCCAATCCTCTCTAAAGCAATAAGACACTGTGCAAACCTACTCTGAAATCTCTCCTCTGCTCACTGATATTTTGATCATAACCAGGATTTATCTTTGATTAAACTCTGAATGGAGCAGCAACAGACTCCACCAATTCTGGCTGGCCCACTCACAACACATTTACAACACCTTGTGCACCTAATCCTGTGGAAAATCTGCAATTGCAAGAATAATTGTTTGAAAAATCCTTACAATAAACTGCAGTGACTGCAAAACTGTCCAGCCACACAAGGAATGTGCACCATGATCTTTTATGAGAGTGAAGTGAAATATATTAAAAACCAAACAACAGCAAACGTGCTCAGGGTGAGAAACGGTAACATTCCTGTTTCGAGGAGTTTCCTTCCCTGCTGTAACGCCCGGGGGAAGGTGGGCTGCTCCTTGAGCAGTGCACGGCGGGCGGAGGGAGCAGATCCGGGCTCAGACCCTGCGGTGTCACAGGCGCGAGGGCACAGCCGGCTCCCGTTCCTGGGGACGCCACCGCTCCCTGACCGTGGGACACGAGGGACAAGCCGGTGCTGTGCACAGCGACGTGCCCCAGCCCGCGGCACGCCGGCCGCGCGCAGCCGGGCCCGGGGCCGTACGGGAGGCGCGGGGACAGCGGCAGCCGGGGGTGTCCCCCGCCCGTGGGACGGCTCCGGGCACCGCGGTGACACCGGCGCAGGGAGGGGCTGTCCCGCCGCGGCCTCACCTTGTCGGAGCCGAGCTCGGGCCCGTCCTGGCAGCACAGACGGCACAGGAAGGACTTGGGCTCCCGGCACAGCGTCTGCCGGGTGCTCACGAAGTACGTGCCGCCCACGTTCAGCCGCACCCACTTGGAGGCGGCGGCGGCGGGAGGGGACAGCGCCCCTGCGGACCCCGCCGCCGCTCCGGCCGCGCGGGGGCTGGGCGGCCCCGGTGCGCCCCCGGGGCCCGGGCTGGGCGTGCGGCCCCTCGGCGGCCCCTCGGCCATGGCGGAGCCTCAGCGCCCGCCCGCCGCCATCGCCGCCCGCACCGCTTCCGGCCCGCGCCGCTTCCGGGGATGATGACTTCCGGTGAGTCCGCGTTTTGATTGGGCGATGCGAGCCGAGGGGGCGGTGCTTCCGGCGGCTGGGACGGCCGTGTCGGTCAGTGAAGGTGAGAGCGGGAGCGGGGAGCGGGAACGGAGAATGGGGTCCGGGACCCCGAGGCGGGGGCACAGGACAGGCTGGGGCGCCCTCGGTGTTGGGAGGCTCGTGAGAGAGAACGGGGGCCAGCGTGAGATCGCGGCGTGGCTCAGGAGCGACCCCCGTGCCCCGATCCCGGTGCCCGCGTTCTCCCCGTGCCCCGATCCCGGTGTCCCCGTCCCGTTCCGTGACCCGACCCCGTCCGTGTCCCCGTGCCCCGTGTCCCGCCCCATCCCGCCCCCTCGGTGCCGCGTTCCCGAGCGGAGCCGCCCTCCCGCCCCGCTCCGCCGTGACCCACCGCTGTCTCCCGGGCCAGGCGCAGCCATGGCGGGACGCAGAGCTGCCCTTAAGGCCGTGGACTGGGCGGCCTTCGCCGAGCGAGTGCCCCCGAACCAGCGAGCCATGTTCAACGCGCTGAAGACCCGCAACGAAGCGCTGACGGCCCGGTGAGTGCCCGCCCCGCCCCGCTCCGTGCGAGCGCTGCTGCCTGCCGCGTCTGTGCTGCGGCCTCGCAGGTATTAAAGCGGGTCACCTTGAGGCAGCTGGTGGCTTTTTTTGGCAGATCACCTTCAGTTAATCTTCCCCAGGGAAAACCCGTAGCTGCGGCTCTGTGAACGCACCCTGCTTTGGCACAAGCTTTGTCGCTGTTAAATGCTCTACAAATTCGTGTGTGGTTCTCAAATCCTTTAGCACCCTCTGCCTGATCCAAGTGCTGGCTGTTGCAGGGAGTCTTGCTGATTGCCTCGGGCTCAGTGTTGTGAAACAGCCTCGTCCTTCCTGGCTGCACCCAGAGGGGCTGAGCTCTGCCTGTCTGTCCAGGGGAGCCTGTTCCAAGGGCAGAGGGACTTGCAGAAATGGCTTGTTTCAAACTTGAGAACGCCTAAACTAAACACAGCAGGCTGTGCTGATGCTCAGGCTGCTGCTCATGTGTGCTGTGCTCCATCCTTTCAGGTTGGCTGCGCTGCCAGAGAAGCCCCCGGCCATTGACTGGGCTTTCTACAAAGCTAATGTTGCCAAGGCTGGAATGGTGGATGAGTTCCAGAAGAAGGTCAGTCTCCTTGCCAGCTGGGTATTGCTTTTTGGAGTTTAATTGGGGCGTTGAGAGGAAAACACCAGGATCAACAGAGAAGGTTAGTTGTGTCACTATGAAAATTTGCCTCCCAAGACTGGAGGCACCCACTGAGCTCAGGTGGGTCTGGGAGCTTTGTGTGGGGGCAGTAACTCTGTGATAGGGTAGGTCTGTGCTGTTGGACCTGCCAGCTTCCTCACAGTGCTCTGAGGAACAGGTGGTGTTGTGTGTGCTGGGGGTGGTGGGCAGGACAGAGGAGATGTCTGGAAGCTCCTGGGTGAGCAAGTGCTGCTTGGGAGGGACAGGGGACAGCTGCACTGATCACTTTTAGCTCATTAACACACATGGATGTGAGCAGATCCTAGGAAGACAGGAGGGAATGCTCCCCTGCTGCTAGGGAAGGTGACCTCGATGTGAAGGATTGTTTCAGTCAAACCTTTAAAAAATTTGTCTTTCAATTTCCAGTTCAGTGCGCTAAAGGTTCCTGAGCCAGTGGATACACAAACTGCCAAGATTGATGCCCAGGAGAAGGAAGCTGTAAGTGAAGCATTCCCTGCTGCTGGGGCTGTCCCTGCCTTCTGTGGGGATGGGAAGGGGTGAGAGGATGTTGTGGATGTGCTCCTGCACAGGCAGGGCACAGCTCTGCCCTTCACACCAGTGCCTGTCTGAGCAGGGGGTCCCTGCACAGGGAAGGGTTCGGCTCTGTGGGGTCTGCTGGAGATTCCATCAGTTACCCAGTGCCACAATGATGGATTTTAATGCCAGCTGAAAGCCCGGTGGGGGGTGTGTGCAGGTTCACTCTGGGTCAGTGTCTTTACCAGAAGCACTCTGCCCATGTCCTCTGCTCTCCCCAGGCCAAGAGCACTGCTGAGTACATCCAGGCTTCCAAAGACCGCATCGCCCAGTACGAGCAGGAGGTGAGGCTGGACTTTGCTTTGGGAATATTCTCTGGGCCACACCCCTTGCTCTCCTGGGTGTGCTTTGCTCCTTCCTGCTTACCACTGACTTGTGATGTGTCTGTCCCTGCTTCCACAGCTCCAGAAGCTCAAGAGCATGATTCCCTTTGAACAGATGACGATTGAAGACTTGAGTGAAGCCTTCCCTGAAACCAAACTGAACAAGGAGAAATATCCATACTGGCCCCACAAGCCAATTGCTGATCTGTAAACTGGTCAGGGAGCAGTTTAATGACTGTCAGACTCCATGATGTTATAAATAAAGAGCTTTCTCTGTCTGTGGCTTAGATCTTGGACATGAGTTCTGAGTGACGTGGAGCAATACAGTGACTCGCAAACATTCCACTTTTTCTGGATTTTGTGTTTTCTACCCATGAGCTTGTTTTGGTAGCAGGGACCAAGCTCCCTTTCCTGCTGATCAAACTAAACCCTGTGAAATGCAAATAAACCTCCTGTCCCTCTCTGTAACCACGGGGGGCAGGGAATAGAGCTCTGCCCTTGCAGGCAGACACTTGCTCAGAAGTTGAACGTGTGTAGTCTTTGAGATGCTGGAGTGTATTTGGCAGTGAATTGTGTGTGTTTGGAGTGTCTCAGGACTTCTACAGGCGCAGGCCCAGGGCTGTTTTCTGGGCTCATTGGTTGTTTAGGAAAAGCCAGTTGCAAAAGGAGTTGAAGGAATGTTGGTGTGTTGAGATGCACACAAAAAAAGTTACTTTTTAAGTTATTTTTAAAAGCACTTAATCGTGGTGCTCCTTTTCTCTTTGCCCTGGATTTGTGAATGCTGCTGTTCTCACTGGAACTCACAGAAACAATAGTGAAGGCTTGCATTGTTTTATTTAATAATCTGAGGTGGACTTCTTAAACACCTGCCCTCAAGATGGAAACTCCTCTAAGAGAAGGCAGTCAGCTCCCTTTCTTCTTGGTCATGTTGGAGGTCAGAATTATCCCCAGATTTTACAACTATTTTATTCAAATACCTTAGTAGCCCACAGAATACTTCAAGAACATCTGTAGCTCTACTGAACCAGAGTGCAAAGTGCTGCGCATGCAGATCTTGGGCCCTTGGATTTTATTTTATTTTATTCAGGCAAATGAACTGCAGCTGTATGAATTGACCAGGAGCAAATTACAGCAGGGGGTCAGAAGCAACACAGTAGAGAACAACTGAGCTGGCACTGGGCAGAGCTGATCTTCAGCTGCTCCATTTCACAGAAATCACGGTAAAAAAGAACAGGGACAGGAAGAGGTGGCTGAAGAGAAGCACCTTCTCCAGAACTGGAAGAAATGGCTCCAGCTCCTGCAGCTGCCAGAGGTGCTTGGGAGGCTGCCCTTGTCCCGGGGCCCTCTTGGGAGGGTGCAGCAGCTGGGGACCCTCCTTGGCCAGATTGCCTGGGGGTCTCTTGGGCAGCTCGTGTGGGTCTGCGGGGAGCAAAGGGCAGTGTCAGCACAGTGGGGCCACCCTGGCTCACACTGCCTGGGGCACTTTGCCCCTGAGGAAACCCACCCTGGCTCCACCAAATGTGCAGGAAGATGCCCCAAACCTCCTCAGTTACAGATGTTATGGATTGTTTTACCTTGCTGGAAGCTCCTGAGGACCTTGTCCAAGCGCCGGGATTTGCGCTGCTGGTACAACAGGAAGAGGGTGTCCAACACAGCCATGATCATGAGCAGGAAGGTGCCCAGGAAAAACACCACTGCAGAACAACAGGAAAACAGAGAAAGCTCTGGATAATTGGCATTTTCTTATATTCCATTGCAGGGAAAGTCTAGCTCCAGCAAGCTAATCAAGCTTAGCTGTTCATGACTCCAGTGTTCATGAACATGTGTGTCAACACCCAAAAACCTTCCTTAGGGCTGGTACCTGGGTGAAAATTGGGGTTTATTTGATAAAGGTGGGTACCTATTATGGGTGGTTTGTTGGAGGAAGTTGGGAGGCTGTTGTTGAGAATCACAGCCAGCATGGAGCTGCCGAGGATGATGGCAATCTGGAAGTTGATTTTCTCCTCAAGAGAGCTGGGACCAAACAACACAGCCATGTCCAGCAAGTACAGGGCACACGTTGGGAGGATCAAGTTCAGAATGTAGAGAGTGGGTCGTCTCTCCATGGAAATCTGTTGAGGAAGATGGGCAAAATTTGATGAGCAGGAAATGACTCAATGTGTTGACAAATGCTGGTCCCCTAATGTAAAAAATCATCTTGTTTCTGGGGTTTGTTTCGTGCCAAATCAATGCAATATCATATGGAAGTGCTGCCATACCACATAGGTGACCACAGAAAATCCTTTGCCATCCATCATTTCCGTGAATTCAATGATGCTCAGGTTGGTAAACTTCCATTCTCCATCAGTTAGGATTAAGCTCTTGCTGTCTTTCAGGATGGCAGCTGGTGTCCGTCTCGTCTTCATGACAAAGTCTGTTACTGCTTGGGCAGGAGGCAGAGGGGGGAGGGAAGGTGAAGAATTTAGGAATTTATTAGAGGTCAGTTATTCCTCTGCCTTTCCCACCCAGCTGATGGTGTATGCAGACAGGAAGGGGGAAGGTTTCATGCATTGCTCGGGGTTCTCAGCCCATGAGGGAGAAATTAAAAAGGTCTCTGTGAAGAGGCTTGGCTGGACCTCTGGGAATGTGGATCAGAGGGGAACACCTGTTGAATTAGGGCAGTTGTCCTTTGTGGATGGGACCAGGGAGATTTTGTGTCACCTCTGCTTATATTTCAGCCCTTCCTGTAGGGATGAACTCTAACTGCAGTTTGAATCCCTGAAACTGTCCTTTTAATGGTTGTATTTGATGCCCTTGGAATCTTTTTCAACCTTAGGATTCTGTGATTAATTTCCTCCCATTTCTATGGCTTTCAGGTGTGTTTAAAGATCGCTCTTGCAAAATTCTATGTGAACAAGCAGCAGTTTTGCAGGAAGCCTCCTGGTCTCAGGTTTCTTGGTTCTCCCAGTCCTGGGAGGGGCTTGCCACAGAACATCTGGATTGTTCCAGAGATGTTGCTGGGAAATGTGCCAGGACAGAATGGCAGCATTTTAACTCATTTTCCCTGGTCTCACATGACCTCAACCCCGCTGTGAGCACGTGGTGCTGCTCAGGAGCCCAGGAGTTACCAGGGCCCGTTTCATCTAGTCCTCCTTCTCCAAAGTCAGCCCTGAGGTGGTCAAGCTCAGCCTGCAGCTGTACCTGGGTAGAGGAATGAAGCTATGCTCAGGTTGCACATCTGGGTGTCGAAGGGGAACTTGAAGATGACCAAGCTGCACGTCAGGGTGACCTGGTAGGGCCGGGTGGAGTTGAAGCTGCCGTTGTGCATGAGGACCATGTAGTTCAGCTCTGGGTTCTGCCCGTTCACTCTGCAGGGAACACACAGGGAGAGTAACTGAGCCTGAGATGCTCAGGCTTCCTTAGGGCTGGTACCTGGGTGAAAATTGGGGTTTTATGGGCCTGTGCCTCAGTCCCATAAAACCAGGATGTGAACACCCTGTTGGGGGGCTCTGAGCCATCACCCAGCCACGGGATGCAGCAGGAAGAGAGGAAACCAGGTCTGGGAGAAGGGCTCATGAGCCCTTTGGGATCAAGGTTTGTTGTAGCTCCGCACCTCCTGAGCATCTCCTGCCTCTCTGCCCTCTGCTTCCTGCCCTCACCAGGGCACAGGCTCATTCCTAGCTCTGCCTCCCACTCCTTTCTCCCTCTGGAGAGCTGGTGGAGGTGCCCATCCCTCTGTCAGACCCTCAGTGCTCTGCCCTGTATCTTTCCACACACTACTAAAGGTGACTTTATTCCACAGCAGTGCTGGTTTCTGCTGCTTCCTCGATTTTAGCTACAGCCCAGAAGGGATATTTCAGGAGCTGTTACAGTATTGCAGAGCCACTAAGTGCTTTGTATAAACTGTGGTCACCATTAATCTAAATTAGGAGGCTCTCAATCACAGAGAGCTCAAGGGAACAACTTTTAGGCATCTGAGTTTATCCCATTTCCTATAATATAACCAACAGTTTGCATCCTTTGTATTTCTGTTAAGCCAGTGGATAACAATGAAAGGGGAACGTACCGCTCTAAGATGAAGATGGGGGGTGACCAATACGTATCCATGGGCAGAACAATTTCAGAGATGTTACAGAAATCCCGTGGGTCCCAGGTTGCAAAAGGGTTCTGCCATTCCTGAGGGAAGAAGTTACAGGAGAGAGATGAGCTCTGGGCTAGGCACCAGACTTTGTGTTGGGCATCAGGAGAGAAACGCTCTTGAGGGACCTACCAGGTTCAGGACGAAGTAAAAACTGACTGTCTGGAGCTTTTCCACCTGGAGAAACAAAGACATTTAGCTGATTTTCTTAGATGTATCCAATGCAGAAGCTCTTCCCTGAGCACAGACTGCAGCAACAGGGCTTGAGAAGAGAGCTCATGGCTCTTGGTCCTATGGCTGAAGAGTGGGAGCACACAGTCCAATGGTTAGGAAAAATAATAGATTATCGTTAACATTTCCATGGCAGTGTCCTGCAAATGCAGTGCCCAGTTCAGGCACTCTGCAGGGTGTTTGGAGCCTCCTACTAAGCAGACTGCTTGTCTGGATGTGACTTCTGGAAGGAGTGGGAGAAAATACTCCAGATCTTCCAAAAGTGCTTTCCAACAGCAGAAAGTGAAGTGGAAGGAGCTGATTCTCACCCCTGTGAACTTGCTGTCAGAAGACTCAAACCCTGGCCTGGACAGCCCAGTTTCCTGTTGTAAAGACTCATTTTGGGTCCTTACCACAGAGAGAATTGCCACCAGAAAGAAATCCACCTTCACTTCTACAGGCTTCAGGTTTATCTTGGGAAGAATGTATGTGTGCAGCTTGTCGTGAGAGGAGACGTTCAGGTAGTCAACAATGTCATAGTAGGTGCAGAGGTACTTTGGAGCAGCCCCTGCTGGAAAGAGAATTCCACTTGAAACACAAAAACATCAGGCAACCTGTGAGAGATGCATCAAAAAAAGAAAGGGTGTGGAGCTGTGGATGTGGAAAAACATCATTAACACACAAAAATCCCTTCTCACACAGATGAGAACAGAATTCCTCAAAGGCTTTCAGTCCCCCTTGCACTTACCTGTCCCAAGAGTAAAGGTGAGGATGGCTACAAAAACTGCCTGCATCATCTCCTGCTTCCAAATAAGGAGGAGAATGGTGCCGTGAGTCTTATGAACTGGTCCAGGACACGTCATTTGCTATGTGGAAGTTGATTTGATATTTATTAATGAGGGATGGATTTTTGTAAACAGACATTTTATCTGTTAGGAGGAAGAATTTGCTAATGGTTTG